AAAGAAAGAAAGAAAGAAAGAAAGAAAGAAAGAAAGAAAGAAAGAAAAGAAAAGAAGAGGGGGGAGAGAAAACTCTGTGCTATTATTTTTAATTGTTCCATTATTTATCATATATTAATATTTTATACTGCCCCTCCACCTAGAGTGATTTTACTGCCTTTCTTTTGCCCAGGTATTTTTCAGGGTTTACAATACATGCATTCAACGCCTATAGTCCAGAGCATAAATACATGTGTGTTGAAAGGCACTTTGGAGGTCTTCTATTCCAACCTTCTGCTCAGGCAGGAAAACTGAGGATGTCAAACTCTGAGTAGAGGTCCTGGGAAAGGTGTCAGAATAACAGAATAACAGAACAGAAACGGCTGTTCAATCTTTTTTCTTTTTTTTTGTAAAAATTTTTATTTGAGTTTTCACAAAACATAATACAAATAAAACATCTTTTTTTTTTTTTTAGAATAGCATGGTCCTGGGTTATCACTTCTCCATACAGACACAAACTCAATTTCATATTCATCTTTGTATTCTATTCCATATCTTATTACTATTTTAGCATTTTCTCAGTGATTTTTCCCTTCCCTAAGTTTTCTCAACCTTGCTTTTAATCATCTCAATCCTTTCTAAATTCAGTTATATATCTTTTTCTAAGTTTCAGTATCTTTCAAATCATTATATTTATATTTTTGTCTGCCCTATTTCAATTTCATATTTTCTTTTCTCTTTAAATAAATTTTCCCCTGTAGTTACCGATTGGAGTATGACACCTTTGTATCTTTTAGTTTTTGCCCATATATATATATAAACAATAGTAGATAAAATACTTATTCTATTCCAATTCAGCTCAACCATTAATGTTAGTTACAATCTTCCATTAATATAAATTAATATCATTAACATTTCTTTTCAATTAAATATCATACTTCCTTAGGAACACTTATAATATTTCCATAATTTTTTTTCATGTTTCTTTCATATTTCTCTTCACTTAATTTTTTATAAATCTTTATATATTTTATAAATTTTTATAAATATTAAAATGTTCCCATCCTTTCCTAATTTCATTCTCTCATTCTCTTTATTTCATTTATTAACAAACATTCCATTCCATTACAATAAGTATTTTATCTATCACTTTAATCCCACTTGTTTCTATATTCATTTCTATTTCTAATATAACAATGCTATCTTATGTACCCTTGCAGAATCCTCTCTTTCAATTAAATTTTCACCATTGTCTCTAGGTCTTCTAAATAGGCTTATACCTTTAATCCTTGTACGTTTTCCCTGTTTTTCTATATCCTATTTCTGTCCTTTATAACTTCTTTTCCTTTCCTTCTTCCCGCTCTTCTTCTCCCTCCCCTTTTTGATCACATAACTAGCTAGCTGCAGTCCAGAGTGAAATAAGTAAGACATTGCTGCATTTTCTTCCAGACTGCTGCTCTAATTGCATTGCTGTCTGATAGCAGATGCCGGATTCTTAGGAAGAGAAAGGTGACAGTCACACAACAGAATAGCTGACTTGTAGCAGTGGCCCATGAAGCAGTTTGCTAGGTGACACTGCCAGCCACTGCTGTTAGTCTACTGTAGACCATGGGAAATTCCCATTCATATATATCTGCTAGGAAATAAGAGTAGAAACAGTTGAATCGGTTGTCAGGTTCCAATTAATGTACCCATTGCAAACAGAACTCCGAGGCAATCCATTTCCTTAAAGAACAGGTTCATTCAGATACATCATCTTGGCACAAACTGGTGAAAAGTCAGTCCTGAAGATTCCCATCCTTTCCACCTCATTAAAAGTTTTTAATTTCCCCAAAACAATATATCACATTGTCCAATTGGGATAATGGCTGGATGCTTGGCGACTTCTCTCCTCCTCCTCTGGCCAGCCAGCTGTTAGAATGTATCTGACTCATAAGAGAGCTATGTTGTTTTGGCTGAAAACTCCATCCACCTCTACTCTCCCCCTTCAATTCCAAACTGTGGCAACCTGAATCCATGTGAGGATTACCCATGATAGAAACAAAATCCCCACCAAAAAGGGATCAGCCACAGCCAGCTCAGATTCAGGCTTGACATCAGTATCCTGGAAGTCATGCTGGAGAGTTGCTTCTGGGCCAGGTACTCACATCAGCAACAAAGACTATCCAAGAAGCAATTGCTGCTGATTGTGAGTCTAGCCATAATCAGAATTAAATATAAAAGTAGGGTTTCCTCGCTCCCCTATACCTCAATGAGTCAAAACACATTAAACACAATCAAAGCCATCACAAAATTATTTTTTGCAAGATTGTATTAAGTGTCTGGATGTCAGTACTTCAGAAATACAATTATTTTAGGTCTTATATCTAAGCTGTTTATTAAGTTCGAAGCATCAGCACCTTGTTATTTGACTTTTTCATATTTGAATGCCAAGTAGTAGTATCCAGCTTTTTTTCTACTAAGTGTAGCCGTGCTGTGGTTTCTGTCAGCATGTCCATAAGCAGTTCAAGCTGCAGCTTCAAGTAATTGTTCTCTTCCAGTAAGGATTTGTTTGCTTTCTTCAGGGCCTTGTTGGGTGATTCCTTATCTGGAGAGGGGAATAACTGTAATAAAGGCATCTGTTGGGGGATATTCTCATTTTGCCATTCACCATTGTGGAAGACAAATTTTGCTTTGTTCAGCTGAGCACATGGATTGGCATAGTCCATTCCAAGTTCAGCTTGTCGGGTTTTGTAGTCCAATAAATAGAAGGTGGATAATGAAGATGCTTGGCGAAGTGTTGGCCTTCTTGGATAGAATCTACGAGAAAAATGATCAGCCCAGTAATCACGCACATCCTGTAGAATGTTAGAAATGGTTTCCATGACAAGGAGAATTAGAGATGTAGGATACCAGTAAGAAATCTACAGAAGAAAGTTCTGGAATAGAAAACCAACATGTCCAAAGTTAAAGAGAGGACTGGATATTATATAGCTTAATTAGATCAGAAATGAAGTTGGCTAGATGTATAAATTCATAATTTCTTTATTTAAAATGATGCTTACCATTTCCTATAGTGGTTTATAAATGTAGAAGCATACAATATATAACACAATATTACATTGTTGAAAGTCAGTCAGATTCATCAAGCAAGCTATCCATCTTTAAAAGCCCAGGTAAAAAGAAAAAAATGCATGCTGAAATCAGGGATGGTATAAAAAGCAAATATATATCATCTAAAAAGAAGTCAAGAAGGAATATATATCTTCTTAAAGCTATACTGTAGATGCTAAGCAAGCATTCCTAAAATGTGACCTTCCCAATGATATTAAATTGCATGTCCCAACACTCCTCAATATTGGCCAGATCTGCTGGAAGTGGTTTAACCATGCATTCATTTGCTATTGGTGGAGAAGATTCGGATTAGATTGTGTATGTTCAGTTTGCTGCCAGATGATATGAACAGCCAATTTCAAAGCCTTCTTATTGTCCTTGTTGGGTTGGAAATTCTCTAAATAGTCAATAAAATTAAAACTGTCTTCTGACAGTATTTCAATCACCGAACTGGTTTCTGTTCTAAGTAAACATTCTGTTTGAAAGAATGGTGGAAATAACTTCTGCAAGCTTCTCTGGGAACAGTTTCATAATGGGGATGCCAAACCAAGGAGAACTGTACCCCAGATAAAATGTCACCTTGTCTCACACTGTTCAGAAATTATCAAAAAGGCCACTCATGATCTGACAGGATTGTGTAGAAAAAACAGTCTTCAGATTATTGAAATAAGAAAAGGATCCCTCATAGTTATATATATGGTAATGTTTTCATTGTGATCATCCATCCTCATTTAAGTTTGGATGAAATGACAACATGTTGGGATTTGAGGCAAGAGCCTTTTCTATCATCATATCTACCCATTGGAATATCATTTCCCCAGTTTAATATCATTTGCTTATCTTATATTCTTCCTTGTCCAACCTCTATTTGAGTGTAATAGCAGCATGACAATAATCTAATTATACCATGATTGTTTCAGCAAACCATAGGATATTGAAACATGAAAAAGAGTAGACATATAACAGGTGTACCTTTGGTGTCCTTCAGATCTGTTGAATTATAGCTTAAGAAGGGTCATGATGATGGAAATTCTGGGAGTTATAGTCCACATCTGCATCAGGGTAGAGAAAATTGTCCTGGTCAATAGTTTCTAAATGAGAGAAAGAAAAATGAGTTTGGCCTGGATGTGTAGGCCATTAGTCTCAATATTCCAGAAACTTGATTATTTGCTTGATTCTTCTCTTCTTTCCCTTTCTCCAGTATTTTAAGGTTTAAACCCTAACATTAACTCTTGGTATTGGTGATCCTTCGCACAAGTAGAAGAATAGATCATCTTTCTCAAAGAGTTGCCTCACAAGGAACTTGATATATCACACTGCTATCACAATGAATGGTAATATAGTTAAATAAGGGCCCTCCCTTCCCCCATTGTTGAGGGCTTTGGAAGAAAGCATATGGAGACAGATTGTAGACACTATTAGCCATTAAAGCAGGCAAAATGTTCTTCCTGTTCTCAGAAAGCTATGCTCACCAGATAGTATTTTGTTGTAGCTATTCAAGTTCTTGTTTCAGCTAAAACCTCAGGCATGAACAGGTTTGGCAGTAGAGATAATCTATTCCTTTTAAGTGTATTCACATATGTATGTACACTCTCACTGAAATTATGCCTCACATCATATTGTTAACTTACCTAATGTCACCATGTGACTTGCAATGTCTCACAATTGCTGTTCCTGTTTTATCCAATCATATTTTTGCATGCAATAAATACTTAAATGAAGATGGTTTGTTTTATGACTGTCAAATGACACTTCAATGTTTAGCTGGTTACATTAATTGGTATTAATTAACCCGCTACATAGTTTGTATTGTGAAAGTTGATACAAGTTTCATGTATCAAGTGCACATGCCAAATGGCCTATTAACAAACATGTTTATAAGTTAAACAATTTTACCTCCTATTTCAGCTTCTTCCACCCCAAAAAAACTATTTTTATTTAGACTTTTAAAGTCATTGATATAAACTGAATTTCAATGTAGTACATTAATACAATTTCCTGGTTTCACACAGCACATTGTGCAAAATTAAACAATACATTTTAGCCAAGTATTGTATATTAGGTGATGCAAGTCTTACAGTACAATAGTAACTTTTATACAGGTACCACTGTTCAAAATATGTTGAGAATTCACTGTTCAGAATTCCTGTACAGGAATGACAATTATACCAAAACTTAAATATGTATAAAATAAGCACAGTGGCTATTTGCAAATTCTGTTAATGATTGCACAATAGTTTAAGAGTAGTTTATCTAGGCTTTCAAATAGAAAATGGACCTAATTCAATTGCCATTTGTAAACTGCTAATTCTGAAATATATAATTAGGAAGTACACTTGTGAAATAAAGATACACATTTTGCCTGTTAACCTTTAAAAATTGTTTTTGGCAGTAAGACAAGTCTAGCAAGTTGAAAAATAATTAAATATCACTTTGCAATACATAATAAGTGATAAATTTGTTTTGAAGTCTGGTGACATACCCAGACATATTTATGTAGGCTTTTGACAACAATTCAGGGTGGTTTTCCATTGCTTTATTTCATACTTTTCTTTTTTAACAGACAGTACTCTACTTCCCATATTCTCATCCAAATAACCAGATAATGTTTAGCTTTCTCATTTAAGTGCTGCCATCTAGCAGATCATAAGACATAATGCAGTACTAAATATGTAAAACCAGAATGCCCAATGAAATAAAGACACTGCATTGGGACTGTCAAAATAAAAAATAGATTAATTATTATTAATCCAGTCTAGAATATTATGAACAAAAATATACAATAAAAATAATATCCCATCTACCTAGATAACAAGTCAATTCATTTTTCTATTCTGCATTTTATTTAACATTTTGCATAACATCTGTAGTTATATAACATAACCATATAGTTATGTAGTAACATAGCATCTGTAGTTACAAAAACCTTTTTAAACCAAATTTTATTAATTTTTAAAGATATATACCATATAATATACCATAATCTAATCATTAATATTAACAATCATTTATATCTTAAACATTTTATCCATTTCAATTAAATATCATGCCTTTGTGGGAACACTTATGCTTTCCAAAAATTATTACACCCCCCCCACATCACATGTCTTAAATCATACTTCATTACAGTTCTCCCTTTTTCTTAACTAAAATTTCACTAGTTTATATTAAATATTTTATCACATTTTAAATTACATATTATTTCCAATTTTCTATGGTTATTTCTAAATACAAATATAAAAATGCAATCTTATGTACCTTTCTAGAATCCCAATTTCAATAAGATTTATCCATTATCTCGAAAAAACTTTTGCTTCTTCACATCTTGCTCCCCACCATTAAGGCTTCTCATCCCTTCCTTTCTCCCTTGCTTCTTCTTCTCTTTGTCCTCTTTAACCCCTTGTCTCTCCACCTCCCTTTTCTTCTGTTTTCCCTCTTTCTGTTGTTTCCTAACATAATGTCCCTTTTTCACCTTATTCTTCTCTTTTTGGGTTGTTTTTCCAGATCTTAAAGTCTTCTTTTCCTTTTTCTCTTTCTTTTTCCCTTCTCCAACCAA